TTTCATTTTACACCTTCTCATATTAACATATGTAACTATATATTAACAAAAATATATTTAAAAATGTTTAATTTTTTTATAAATTATACCATTATGATCGTTTCTTCAATACTATCAAAATGAACCCAATATATAATATTATTGAATTTAATAATATTATTAAATATGATAAATACATAATGATATTTTTTAGTATCTTTATTTTTTATTTCCATTTTACACCCTTATCTTTTGAGATTTACGGATGAACTATTTATTCAAAAAAAAATCCCTATTTGATGGATGATTTTTATAGGCTTCAACCTTCGTATTTCTTATTTAGTTATCAAAATATTATTTTACTTGCAAACAATACAATAATTTAAAGGGTAAAACATTTTATAAATAATTAACAAATTTTTTATTTACAAGAAAGTGTTATATTTATTAGCATTGTAACAGGTACAAAACTAGTATTAATATAAAACTTAAAAGTTGTACTAATTGCCACTAACCTCCTACGATCCCAAATAATATTATAAATCAAATTATTTTAATTTTTAAATTATACTTTATATTGTTATAATTAGCTATATAATTTACTTCAAATCCTTTATTTTTTATTCTTATTTTTCATTTTACTTCTTTATCATATTAATATAAATAATTGTATATGAATAAAAATACATTAAAGAGTACATTTGTTTGTTAATAAATTATATCATTATAGTGGTGTTATAACCAGGTTATTCAGTTATAACGTTGGGGGTTGTTTTTGAAAAAACATTGATAAGTTGAGGGTTATTTTCTTTATATGCTTAAATTATTTTAAAAATCCCCCACCGCCTCAATTGTTTTTTTATATGAGACATTCTTAATATCTCATAAGTATATTTTGAAGTTGGTGAAAATTTTACTGTGTGTGCTTCTTGGGTGCGAATCAAACAAAATAAAGAAAGAACTAAATTGATTATGTGGTTTCTACATGGGAGATTGTTACTATTTTATCTTCATATCCTCATCTCTTTGTGAATAAGGTGAGTTTAATTTTTATGAAATTTCCTTATTTGGAAACTGGTTTTAGAACCGTGTGGTTCTTTATATGAGATGATGTTGTAAATCTGTTTTGATGTCAAAATTTGGCAAAATTATGGGTTTTTTTATACGTGTAT